ATAGGCGCCGAGCCTAAAGATCTATTTAAATGAAAAAGATATATAAAATACAGGGTCAAATTACTAGAAGTACAATATAAGGAAGTTATTTTCATGATCTTGCTATGGAGGAAATGTGCCAGTATGTTTCATTCTTCATAAATTCATGCTACTACTGCCTGGTTTATCTGTATTTCCACAGATAAAAGACTGGACAGCCTGAGCAACATAGTAAGACCCTGTCTCTACAAAAAGTGAAAAAATTAGCCAGGTGTAGTAGTGTAGCTTATAGTCCCAGCTACTCAGATGGCTAAGACGAGAGGATTTCTCCAGCCTAGGAGTTTAAGGCTACAATGAGCTATGATTAAACCATTCCACTCCAGCCTAAGCTTGGGGAGGTACTGTCTCCTAAAGAAAAAGCACTAGGGCAAAGATGCTTTAGATTAGGGGGCTATGATATGAGCAAAAGTCTTAATATAATGTAGGCGTCTGTATAGAATGTGATATAGAACTGGGGATAGGATTCTTGTTTGTGGCAGACAGGAATATTGGGATATTGGTTACGAGTTATGACATCCAACTTTCTATAAGGCTACAGAGATGTGAAGAGGTGTGAGCTCGACATGCACTGGTGAGTCTGGGTCGTGCAGAGCTGGCACAGAAGTAATCTTAAGCAGTTCCTCCACTCTGCTGCCTTTGGTATCATTTTGTTAAAAGCTGTGAGTTCTTGCCTTGCCAAACCCTCATATTAACCTGTATGATTTAATAAGATAACATATTTGAAATCAAAAACATTCCAGGAAAATATGGTACCTATTCTTTTGGTGGCTAACTCACAGAAAGTTATGAGTCACCTCTATCTGAAGATCCAAATAATCTGGGTGGCACCTGCTAGGGTGCCAGCCCCATATACTGAGGGTGACAGGTTCTAACCCAGCCCTGGCCAAACTGCAACAAAAAAATAGCTGGGCGTTGTGGCGGGCGCCTGTAGTCCCAGCTACTCGGGAGGCTGAGGCAAGAGAATGCCCTAAGCCCAAGAGCTGGAGGTTGCTATGAGCTGGGACACCACAGCACTCTACCGAGGGTGACAAAGTAAGACTCTGTCTCAAAAAATAATAATAATAATAAAATAACCAAATAATCATGATACTAAGCAATTTTATTTACCATTTTCTCAAATCCTATTTTCCTTGATGATATTTTCAAGTAGAAAGGGATTAGTAAATAGACTCTGAAAATATTAAGACTTGTCATACAGGAGGTTTTTGACAAATAGAGACTTGACTTTAATTCTGTCAAAATAAATAGTATGGTTCAGCACCCGTAGCTCAGTGAGTAGGGCACCAGCCACATACAGTGAGGCTGGTGGGTTCGAGCTGGGCCTGGGCCAACTAAATAACAATGACCACTCCAACCAAAAAACAGCCGGGTGTTGTGGCAGGTGCCAGTAGTCCCAGCTACTTGGGGAGGCTGTGGCAAGAGAATCGCTTAAACACAAGAGTTTGAGGTTTCTGTGAGCTGTGACACCACAGCACTCTACCAAGGGCAACATAATGAGACTCTGTCTCAAAGAAAGAAAAGAAATAGTACTAACCTATTTATTTTAATGAGAAAATAGTGTTTTGTGCATTATTTCCTGAGTAGGTTTTTCTTTTCCACAGGTTTCTGTCTGGATTCTCCCGGACCCTTGGATAGTAAAGAAAAGTATGTATCATTGCTTTTAAGTGTTTATACTTAGAAAAAAATGTTCATATTTTTTAATGAAATTCTTCATACTCTGGACTAGATCCTTCTAGAAACTGGTATCTTGAGAATGAGTAGTTTGTGTCAGCAGTTTTCAAAACTTTTTTCTTCCACCCTTTATTTTCTCTGTAATTCTGGTATTCTGTTTGTACCTCACCCAAACCCTTGCTTACCTTCTGAAATCACGGCCTTAAGAGAACATGGTTTTTTTTTGTTTGTGTGTGTTTGTTTTTTGAGACAGTCTCACTTTGTCACCCTCAGTAGAGTGCTGTGATGTCACAGCAACTTCAAACTCTTTGGCTCAAGCGATTCTCTTGCCTTAGCCTCCCAAGTAGCTGGGACTACAGGCGCCTGCCACAATGCCTGGCTATTTTTAGAGATGAGTTCTCACTGTGGCTCAGACTGGTTTTGAACTAGTGAGCTCAGGGAATCCACCCACCTTAGCCTCTCAGAGTACTAGAATTACCAGTATGAGCCACCTCACTGGCCAAACATGTATATTTTAAGAGAAGACCTAGGTTTGCATTTTTTCACCTAGAAGCCTAGTATTGAGGTTGCCCCTGAGAACAGGGCAGGTTTAGAATTTTATTCTTCCATCTCTTGGCTAAAATGAGAGTCTGTCTGACTGCCTCCGCCGACCATACTATAGGCTAAACATTATTCCTCAGCCAATGAATGCCTCTTTACTTGCTTTATTCTCATTATTTACCTTCTTATCTCATTATAGCCTTGAAAATCCCGTGAGAAGAATAAATTCCCTACCTGTAAGTTAGTTCTCTTATTTTGCACTAATACCTATTATTTGTACCTTGGCTATCAGCATGACCTTGATAGACCTTAATTTGAGAGTGAAAACTGCTTTTTCTTAGTCTCCTAAGCACTAGAGCTAGGAATGTGCTGGTGAGTCTGGGCCATTCTGAGCTGGCATACAAGTAATCTGAACTAGTGTCTCCTCCATCAAGCTGCTTGTGGTATCATTTTGTTAAAGGTTTTGAGTATTTGCCTTGCCAAGTTGTATTTTTCAAACCTTCAGATTACCCGTGTGATTTAATAAGATAACGTATTTGAAATCAAAACCATTCCAAGAAAATGTGGTACCTATTCTGTCTGTGGTTAAAACTCACAGAAAGTTATATGGGTCACCTTTGTCTGAAGAACCAATTTTTTTTTTTTTTTGAGATTGAGTCTCAAGCTGCCTCCCTGGATAGAGTGCTATGGCATCATAGCTCACAGCAACCTCCAACTCGGGCTCAAGCAATCCTCTTGCCTCAGTTTTTTATATTTTTAGTAGAGATGAGGTCTCAATTTTGCCCAGGCTGGTCTCGAACTCGTGAGCTCAAGCAATCCACAGCCTTCCAGAATGCTAAGATTACAGGCATGAGCCCCACCGTGCCTGGCCAGAACCAAATAATCTTGATAGGAAGCAGTTTTATTTACCATTTTCTCAAATCCTATTCTCTTGATGATATTAGCAAGACTGCCTCTTAGATTTGTTTTTCATCTCTTAGTATCATAAAACCATAAAGAGTTCTTTTTATGCATTTATTATGTGGGGGTTAATTTGGCACTATAATCCCTGCTAAGAGGGCTATACACATTGTGGGGTTAGCTGTAAAGCTGTTAGTGGGAACCCTTCTAATCCTATGTTCTGACAAGTGGTGCCCTGGTCACATATACTGTTTAACCTACTACAGTGTGTGAGGGACAAGACAAGTCTCCCTCCCGCAATGTTCTTTTGAGAACTAAGGTTTCCATTGAATTTTTATTCATGTAACTTTCTTTTTCACTTTGATAGCAGAAGCTTCTGGGATGTAGCCCAGCTCTGAAGAGGAGCCATTCCGATTCTCTTGACCATGACATCTTTCAGCTCATTGACCAGGATGAGAACAAGGAAAATGTGAGTATGACATCAATGTATTAAACAGGCTGAGATGAAACCCTCAAGCGTCAGCAGTTTATAGAGAAATGACTGTGCTGATTTCTGGGAAACTAAAACTTAGCCAAAGTCATACATGGACTTTGAGTCCAAGAAATCTGGATTTGAATCCTGCTTCTTAGGCCAAACACAGTGGCTCATGCCTATAATCCCAGCACTTGGGAGGCCAAGGTGGGGTAGATTGCCGGAGCTCACAGGTTCGAGACCAGTGTAAGTCTGAGCGAGACCTTGTCTCTAAAAATAGCCAGGTGTTGTGGCAGACACCTGTAGTCCCACCTACTTGGGAGGCTAAGGCAAGAGAATCGCTTAAGCCCAAGAGTTTGAGGTTGCTGTGAGGTATGAAGCCACAGCACTCTACCAAGGGCAATAAATGAGACTCAGTCTCAAAAAAAAAAAAAAATCCTCCTTCTTCTTAACTTTGTGACCTTGGCAAGTTACTTTCCCATTCCTTTTGTCATGTAATACAATAACAATTTTAAGGAGAAAAAATTATGAACAGTTGATAGAAGAGATAGAAAATAAGAAACCTTGGGTGGCGCCTGTGGCTCAGTGGAGTAGGGCGCTGGCCCCATATGCTGGAGGTGGTAGGCTCAAACCCAGCTCCGGCCCCCCCCAAAAAAAAAAAGAAAAAAGAAAATATGAAACCTTAAGATGGATCTAGATGGCGAGTTTTTAATTCCTGTTCATAGGTGATTATATTGTAATAATATTGCCTTAGATTTTATCTATTTTTGCTTTGGATTTTAGAAAATGTGTGATTTAGTTTATCACTTGTTTTGTATACTTGGCAGATGCTTATGTTTTTTCGAAAATAAAATTTGATAAGGAGAAAATGCTATTTTAGAAGTTAGTTGGGTTTTTATTTGGGGGATTTTTTTGAGACCAAGTTGCCCTCAGTAGAGTGCTATGGTATTGTAGCTCACAGCAACCTCAAACTCTTGGGCTCAAGTGATTCTTTCTTGCCTGAGCCTCCTGAGTAGCTGGGACTAAAGGTGCCTGCCCCAATACCCAGCTATTTTTTTGAGACAGAGTCTCACTATGTCACCCTCAGTAGAGTGCTGTAGCATCACAGCTCACAGCAACTTCAAATTCTTGGGCTTAAGAGATTCTCTTGCCTCAGCCTTCTAAGTAGCTGGACTACAGGCATCCCCCACAACACCTGGCTATATTTTTGTTGTAGTTGTCATTTGTTTTGTTTTGTTTTTGAGACAGTCTCACTGTGCCGTCACCCTCTGTAGAGTGATGTGGCATCACAGCTCATAGCAACCTCGAACTCTTGGGCTCAAGCGATTCTCCTGCCTCTGCCTCCCAAGTGGCTGGGACTACAGGCGCCCACCACAATGCCGGCCATTTTTTGATTGCAGTTGTTTAGCTGGCCCAGGCCTTGTTCAACCACCAGCTTCAGTGTATGTGGCTGGCGCCGTAATCACTGTGCTACGGGCACCGAGCAAGTAGTTGTCATTGTTTAGCAGGCCTGAGCTGGGTTCAAACCCACCAACCCTGGTGTATGTGGCTGGCACCCTAGCTGCTGAGCTATAGGCACCAAGCTCCAGCTCTTCTTTAGAGATGGGGTCTTAACACTTGTTCAGGCTGGTCTCAAACCTGTGAGCTCAGACAATTCACCTGTCTCAGCCTCCCAGAATACTAGGATTATAGGTGTGAGCCACTGTGCCTGGCCTTAGAAGTTAGCTGTTGAGATAGCTTTGGACATTTTTGAACAGACCCAGTGTTGTAATTAGATCAGAAATAGGTGAACCTTTAGTTTGGAGGCAATGACTGTCTCACTTGGGTTATAAGTGAGGCTCTAGAGGTGGTTTTCATGGACAGTAGATGTCTGAACTATACTATCTTGCAGGAAGCCTTTGAGTTTAAGAAGCCAGTAAGACCTGCATCTCGTGGCTGCCTGCATTCTCATTCACTCGAGGAGAGTAAAGATCTCTGCACACAAAGGCAGAACTCTGCCCCAGCTCGGATGGTATGTGCTCTGGCTTTCATAGGGGTATTTCTGATGAGAAGAGAGGATTAAACCACCCTCTTTTTTTTTTTTATTAGATCATAATTGTGTACATTAATTCTATCATAGGATACAGTGTGTTGCTTCCATATACAGTTTGAAAAACTCTCATCTAACTGGCTAACATAGCCTAAACCACCCTCTTTAATTCAGAGTTAAGAACACTATAGTAGCTCTTTACCTTGACTTTTAAAACTAGACTGTCAATCATTCTTCTTGGTTTGCTGTGTCTGGAGAGCAGACAGGCAATAGCAAGAGTGGAAGATGGTATGTTTGAAATATTGGACTGTGTAGGGCAGCGCCTGTGGCTCAGTGAGTAGGGTGCCATCCCCATATACCAGACGTGGTAGGTTCAAACCGGCTCTGGCCAAAAACTGCAAAAAATATATATATATATATACATGTATATATATATGACTGCTGGCATTCTGGGCCATCCTCCTTAACTAATACTTGGTATTGCCAGGTGGGGTGTCTCACACTTATAATCGTAGCACTGGGAGGCTAAGCTGGGTGGATTGCCTGAGCTCATGAGTTCAAGACCATCCTGAGCAAGAGCAAAACCCCATCTCAGAACAATAGCCGGGCATTGTTGTGGGCTCCTGAAGTCCCAGCTGCTCGGGAGACTAAGGCAAGAGAATCACTTGAGCCTAAGTTTGAAGTTGCTGTGAGCTATGAATGACTTCATGGCACTCTACTGAGGGTAACAAAGTGAGACTTTGTCTCAAAAAAAAAAATTTAATACTTGCTCTTACACTGTGTTGTGAGTGCTTCCCAAAGAGCAATTTTGTTTGCAAACAATACTTCTTCCAAAGGTATATTAAAAACTGCAATAGAGGGTGGCACCTGTGGCTCAAGGAGTAGGGTTCTGGCCCCATATCCCGGAGGTGAAGGGTTTAAACCTGGCCCTGGCCAAAAACTGCAAAAAAACTACATTAGAGTCCTGTGAACTTACTGCCTAGAGGCTGCTTTGGCTGTTTGGGGGCCACTTGTTTCAGGCCTATTTATTTGCCAGACAGACTGTTGTTCCTTCCAAAGTTTCCTACTATTAGTCTAAATTGGATCCACCAACAGCATGTATATATTGCCAGGAGAGGTGAAACTTGAACAAAATGACCACATTGGGTTTCCAGGTTATCCTAGGAACTTACATCTGAAAATACTCTTTTTCTGGTCTAGTTTGTGGTCTGAGGTTCAGGTTCAGTCAGTATTGCTACTCTGTCTACCATTTACACTTTATTTATTTGAGACAGAGTCACTTTGTTACCTTGGGTAGAGTCCCAGGGCTGAGTCTCTTGCCTCAGCCTCTTGAGTAGCTGGGACTACTACTATTGATATGATCCTTCTTACCTAGGGGAAGCTAACAGTGTATTTATGTATAGGTACCTGCCACATGGTATTTATTTATAAATATTATTTTATTTATAAAAATAAATGCCATGTTATTTTCAGAGATGAGCTCACTCTGGCTCAGGTTGGTCTCAAACCTGTGAGCTCAGGCAATCCACCCACCTCGGCCTCCCAACTGCTAGGATTACAGGTGTGAGCCACCATGCCCGGCCTTCTTTTTTTAAAACTGATGAGGGCTCAGTAAGAAGAGCCAGGCCACTCTTTATTACCCTATCAGAACTGGAGTTACATAACTATTCCCAAGGCCATTTTATGATCTCCATAGAGACTTGCATCTTTTCACCCTTCCTCATTTCAGTGGATTTTGATAGTAGCTGCTAAAATTTTACTTTGTGTGACAAATATAACATAACATGTTTTTATCAGAAAAATCAGTGACTCATTCAAAGAAATGAAAATTGCCAGAGCTCTCATTTATTAATAAGCCATGAATTCTGTTTTACAGTTTTCTTCAAAGGAAAGAGATGGCAGTGAACCAGGGAATTTTGTTCCTCTTTTTATGCCTCAGTCACCTGTGACAGCCACTTTGTCTGATGAGGATGATGGCTTCATGGACCTTCTTGATGGAGAGAATCTGAAGGTACCGTGTGTGTGTTTTCCTATCCATTCTACAAACTATCTCTAGAGAAGTATGTTATAAAAGAGAGCAGCAATTCCCCAAGGCTTCAGCTGTCTGATATGTTTGTTCATTTGGTGAGACTTTATTGAGTTTCTGCCCCTAGCCCGATTAAATTCAGAGGGGAGGGAGGCAGGTGTCAAAAGAAGACATTGTATGATCCTTCTTAGCTAGGGGAAGCTAACAGTGTATTTATGTGCAGGAGACATGAAAAAGTATGATTAATTTCTAACCTTAAAAGTGGCTATGGGGAATAGGGAAATGGGGGTACATTATGATACTATCAATGCCTATCCAGTATTCTTTAGGCAGAATCACACCTAAAACATTTAAGCTAATATTAGTCTTTGCTGGATCTTTTTAAAACCAATTCTTCTGTTTCTTTAGAATGATGAGGAGACATCATCGTGCATGGCAAGCCTCTGGACAGCTCCCCTTGTAATGAGAAGAACTACAAATGTCGTAAGTTATTCTGGTATATCTGGAGGAAGCCTTGTGTACTCAGCCTGCTGGGAAAAGTAGTCCTTAGCTGGGAACAGCCAAAAGTTGAAAAGAATTATAGGACTTAGGGACCTGGATTTTTTTCTTTTCTTTTCCTTTTTTTTGAGACAGTCTCAAGCTGTCACTCTAGGTAGAGTGCTATGGTGTCATAGCTCACAACAACCTCCAACTTGGGCTCAAGCGATGCTCTTGCCTCAGTTTTCTATTTTTGGTAGAGACAGGGTCTCCCTTTTGCTCAGGCTGGTCTTAAACTCATGAGCTCAAGCAAGCAATACACCTGCCTTAGCCTCCCTGAGTGCTAGGATTACAGGCTAGAGCCATCGCTCTCAGCCAAGGGGACCTGAATTTTAGATCTCACCTTGGGCTGCCTACAAGCTGTGACCTTGAGGGATATGTTCCATCTCTCTACATGTTTCTGGATCTATAAATTAAGAATGGGGATGAGAAGAGGCCATGTTTATTTTCAGCTCTTAACATCTAGGCTGTGGTTTTCTTTTTTGTGTTTTTCTTTTTTCTTTTTGAGATAGAATCTCATTATGTGGCCCTTGGTAGAGTACTGTGGCGTCACAGCTCACAGCCACTCAAACCCTTGGGCTTAAGCGATTCTCTTGCCACAACTTCCCTTGTAGCTGGGACTATAGGCACCCACCATAACACCCGGCTATTTCTCCCCCACCCCACCCCCCGGCTGTTTTTTTGTTGAAGTTGTCATTGTTGTTTGGCAGGCCGGCTGGGTTTGAACACAATAGCCCCAGTGTATATGGCTTGTGTCCTAACCACAGGCGCCAAGCCACATCCAGCTATTTTTTAGAGATGGGCGCTTGCTCTTGCTCTAGCTGGTCTCAAACTCTGGAGCTCAAGTAATCCACCTGCCTTGGCCTCCCAGAGTGCTAGGATTATAGGCATGAACCACAATGCCTGGCGCATCTAGGCTCTTTGAAAAAGCCTACGTGGGTTGGGCTCAATGACTCACGCCTATAATCATAGCACTCTGGGAGGCCAACGCAGGTGGATTGCCTGAGCTCAGGAGTTTAAGACCAGCCCAAGCAAGATCGAGACACACACCCCACTTCCCATCTCTACTAAAACTAGCCAAGCATTGTTTTAGGCACCTGTAGTCCCAGCAACTTGGAAGGCTGAGGCAAAGAGGATGGATCACTTGAGCCCAGGAGTTTGAGGTGGTTGTGAGCTATGATGATGCCAGGGCACTCTACCCAGAGCAACAGAGAGGGGCTCCTTGTCAAAAAAAAAAAAGAAGAGGCAACAGCCTATCTGAAGACCTGCTTTTTGTAGATCATTCTCGCTTATTTATACTCCATAGCACCTAGCATAACACTTGATAAGCAATGATAACTCAAGAATGTTTATATATATAGGTATATTTTTTTCCTTTTAAGACAGAGTCTCAATTGTCACCTCTGGTAGAGTACCATGGCCTTATAGTTCAAGGCAATCTCAAACTCTTGGGCTCAAGCTATTCTCTCTCCTTTTTTTTTGTAGAGACAGAGTCTCTCACTTTATCATCCTTGGTAGAGTGCTATGGCATCACAACTCACAACAACCTCCAACTCCTGGGCTTAGGCGGTTCTCTTGCCTCAGCCTCCTGAGTAGCTGGGACTACAGGTGCCTGCCACAACACCTGGCTATTTTTTTGTTGCAGTTTGGCCGGAGCTGGGTTTGAACCCACCACCCTGGGTATATGGGGCCAGTGCCCTACCCACTGAGCCACAGGTGCCGCCCTCAAGCTATTCTCTTGTCTCGGCCTCCCAAGCAGCTGAGAAAACAGGTGTTTGCCACAACACCTGGCTTTTTAGAGACAAGGTCTCGCTCTGGCTCAGGCTGGTCTCGAGCCTGTAAGCTCAGGTAATCTACCTTCCTTGGCCTTCTAAGGGTTGGGATTATAGGCTTGAGCCACTCTCCTGGCCAGAGAATGTTTATATTTTTTAATTAGAAATACCCACCTCATCTGTATATATGCTGTAGACATAGGTTTCCACAGGATGCCTTTTTTTTTTTCTTTTTTGGGTTGTCCTCAGAGTGCTGTAGCATTACAGCTCACAGCAACCTCCAAGTTTTGTGTTTAAGGCGATTCTCTTGCCTCAGCCTCCCCAGTAGCTGGGATTACAGGCACCCGCCACAAGGACCAGTTGTTTTTTGTTACAGTTTGGCCGGGGCTGGGTTCAAACCTGCCTCCCTCGGTATATAGGGCCTGCCCCCTACTCACTGAGCCATAGGTACCACCCTCTATAGGATACTTTCAAACAGAAAGTTAGAAACAGGGATATGCCTACACAGGTACACACTTTCATTTTATTTTCACAGTACAAATTCAGAGTTACATGCCTTAGGTATACACACATATAGACAGTCTTTCATATTTCTAACTATCAATAACCTGAACACTAAATATGGGAAAAATGAACTATAGTTTTAAGGCCACTTGTGGATTATAGTAGATTAATGTGCATGGCTTTTGAAAAAATAAATTAACCCCATATAAATATTATGACTGAATTTGTTAAGTCATTTTTTTTTAATTTCTTTTATTTTTCTTAGATCAGAGCCTGACTTTGTCACCCTCGGTAGAGTGCTGTAGCGTCACAGTTCACAGCAACCTCTAGCTCTTGGGCTTAAGGCAATTCTCTTGCCTCAGCCTCCTGAGTAGCTGGGACTACAGGCACTCACCACAAGGCCTGGCTATTTTTTTGTTGCAGTTTGGCCAGGGCCAGGTTCAAACCCACCACCCTTGGTATATGGGGCTGGCGCCCTACTCACTGAGACACAGGCGACGCCACAGGTGCTGCCCCATTTTTGGTTTTACTTTTTTTTTTTTTGCCTTTGGAGACAGAGTCTCAAGGTGCCACCCTGGGTAGAGTGCGGTGGCATCATAGCTCACAGCAACCTCAAACTCTTGCCTCAGCCTCTCAAGTTGCTGGGACTACAGGCACCTGCCATAAGGCCTGGCCATTTTTTGGTGCCCTGGCCATTGGTGTTAGCTGGCCCGGGCCAGGCTCAAAACCGCCATCTTCTGTGTATGCGTCTGGCGCTATAGCCACTGTACTACGGGCACCGAGCCTGTCAAGTCATTTTGAAAGACATGAAATTATATGGAAAGTGACAACACTTGGGAAGTGAGTATGTTTTAGAAATTGGATTTTAAAATCATGAGCAGGGGCTACAATAGGAATTTCCTTCCACAAATAGTTATTGCAGGCTCAACATTGCTGGGAACTGTGTTAGAACTTATACTTCAGAAACATAAAAGGGAGAAAATCCCTGGTCCCTAGAAGAATAGATGTGGGAAAGAAGTGACAGCAGCATTGAAATGTTATTATCAACTTGAAAATGAGTGATTTACTTGAATATGAAAGGACCTTCTGCATAAAAGAAAAACCCAGGCTACGATACAGCAAATCACAAACAGACTAAGATGAGTTTAGACAGCTGATGTTAGACTGTTTGTATCAATGGTTAGATTGGCTGCCCTTCAGCTTTGGGGAATTAGTCTTTAAAAGACCAAGTAGGAAAAAGGACTTTTGAACGCAGTGTTAGAAAATAGTTCCCAAGAAGCCTTGGTCTGTTTGCCAAGTGAGGAGGTTTTAACAGAAAACGGATCTTTTTTCTTCTAAGGGCAACCGAAGCAAGCTGTTTGACTTCCCTTCCCTGTGTAGCGCCAGCACTCGGTCATCATTGAAGAGACCAGAGCGATCCCAAGATGAGTCACCACCTGGAAATACAAAGCGGAGAAAGAGCATATCTGGGGATAGCCCCAAAGAAGCAGCTAGTCCAGAGAAGGCCCAGGAGGTTAGTTTTCTTTTTTTTTTTT